GCCTGAAGGCAGCTTGCTGGTTAAAAGTCATCACCATTCTCTTAATTTCAACTACCCAGGGACACGTACACTGCCAAAGGTCGCAGGGACCTCTGCCTAGGAAAGCTAGGTATTGTCCAAGGTTTCTCCCCATGTGATAGGCTGAAACAATGCTGCTAAAAGGTTTATGGAGATGTTTGCATATGCATCTCAAGGCACAGCATTTTCCTTTAAACTTATTCATGTCGCAGAGATTTTTGTTCATATGTCTTACTGCTGATTTCCTCCCTACAATGATCCTATTGTCCTGCCACTCCCTTATCTTTAAGATGGTAAAGATAATTATCAATAAATACTAAGAGAACTCAGAGACTGGTGCCGGCGTGGGTCCTCTGTAAGCTGAACGCCAGTCCCCTGGGCCCACTTTTTCTTTCCCTTTCTCTATACTTTGTCTCTGTGTCTCCTTTCTTTTCTCAAGTCTCTCATTCCACGTAATGAGAAACACCCACAGGTGTGGAGGGGCAGGCCACCCCTTCACCCTGGGACATGGGGACTCCACTTGCATGAACTTTGGGATTGGGGCAAAGAACCATCATGAGAACAAGGGCTTCCTTGAACCTCCCAGGCTCATTGGCTGATCTAAACCCTGTGTACCCTCTTTTCTTCACTCTCCTCTGTTTTCTATACCTCTGTTATTGGACTGGACTGGAAGCCACCTGATCTATCACAAGTGCCTTGAAATGTGTTGAATGGGTGTGGCACAGTCCTTAGCAGAGTGGCACTACCCCCACAGGAATTTGTTTATACCCTTGGCATGGAAAATAGCAGGAAATGAGTGATGACTGATAACCCAGGATGCTATTTATTATTGGCTAAAGGAACACTGTGTTGTATTTGCATAGCCACTCACATGAGTTCCAGACCTAGCTCCTTCAGGTAAAGGATCCTAAGAACTGAAGGCCAACAGAGCTCCAGGAGTCCAAGACAGAGCCACAGACCACGAGGATCCCTGGCCCAGGTAGGTGGTCCTCCTGTGCTCGCTTTCAAGACCAACAGGCATGGATGGGGAAGTAGAGTAGCATCTGGCCATCTCGACCCTTGCTTTTTATCTCCACTGGAAGCACATCTGAATTTCTAAATGTGATCTCGGAGACCTGCCCAGAACACCTTGCTCTCAGCCCCAGTAGCAGCCTGCTCTCTCCCAGGAGGGCTTCCGCCAACAAGTAGGGCATTGCTGGAGGGCCAGGCAGACACTAGCTTAGGAAACCCGCAAACCCTGGAAATGCTGCTAGTCCCTTCTCTGAAGGCTCAGGAGACTGACTTCAGAGTCTAGAAAATATTGGTCCTTGGGAACAGATTTTGAGTGCAAAGAGATGGATTTCAGATGGCCAGATGCACTGCTTCTTTAGGGAGTTCTGTGAAAGCTCCCTGGATTTATTTTTATTCCGGGCGGCGGTTTTCTTGGTTCCTTCCCGGGGTTGCCCCCGGTTCTTCCGGCTTTTAGGCTTCTTTTTTTCTTTGGGCGGCCCCTAGTGTCTTTATGTCTTTGGATACCTGCATTTCTGTCAGACATCTCTTGCTCTGATGTTCTGGCTGCCACATTCTCAGTCAAGTGCCTCCAATTTTTTGTGTCCTTTGATTTACCCCAACATGACAAAGGCAGTTGTGCTTCATGTATTCAGGGATACTGCCAAACCACAAACAGGTTAAAATCAAATAGCAGATATCCCTGTCCTTAAAGACGCATCAGCTCTACCCACCTGCTCCTGCTCGCCGTCCTTATTGTTGAGTCCTGAAGCCCTTCCTTGTCATTTTTTTTTTTTTTTTGCAGGAATAATTTTGTTCCCTTTGTCTCGCTCCTAAACTATTCTCAAAGGATTGGGTTTGTACACAAACTGCCTATCTCTGCAATCTTAGAAGTAATATGATCCTGAACAAGTCACTTAACTTCAGATTTTTTATCTGTAAGATGGGAATACCAATTTTTGCTCCACTTCTGTCCTATGTTGGCCTGGGCTGATGTTGTGGAAAGCTCTTTGTCCACTGAGATAGGGTGTGCAGAATTTGTATATATAAATATATCTCCTCCAACCCCTCCCAATGAAGCAAGTCATGTGAGTCAATTCTACCCTAAGATATTAGGGATTGGGCCTCCTGGGACCTTTAGTGGCTTAGGTTTTCATGAAAAGAGGTTGCAGAGCAACTGCTTTTTGTTAGGCAAAGATTAGGCTACTGCAGAGACTCAGCAAACTTTTATAGAAGGTGTCAGACGGTAAGTACTTTAGGCTTTGCTGGCCAGATGATCTCTCAACTACTAAACCATGCTATTGTAGCCTCAGAGCAGCCACAGACCATATGTAAACAAGAGCATGGCTGTGTTTCAATAAAACTTTATTTAAAAAAACAGTCAGGGACCAGGTTTGGCCAAGGGCCGTAGTGTGCCAGCCCCAAGACTAGAGCAATGCACTTTTAACTTTTTTTATTTTATTTTTATAAAATGCCGAGATCCACAAAAATGCTACTGCACCCTGTGTGTTAGCACTGTGACTCACAGTTCGGAAAATTCTGCTTTGAAGGAGTGACAGGCAGGAGAGCATGGTCTGGCCCCTTGGGGCCTTTCTGGTTGCAGCAAGCATTTCTAACTAGAGAGCAAGGCCAGTGGTATGTTCAGCACCAGGGACATCCAGCAAGGTGTCCTGGGGTCAGAAGATGCCATAACTGGTCCCCTTTCTATCTCCTTAGGCCTTGGACTTCATTCCATTTTCTGATGAGTAATAACTCAACGTTGAAAATGTCCTTTGTGGGGGAGAACTCAGGAGTGAAAATGGGCTCTGAAGACTGGGAAAAAGATGAACCCCAGCGCTACTCAGAAAAAGATGAACCCCAGTGCTACTCAGAAAAAGATGAACCCCAGTGCTACTCAGAAGGTAAGGTTCTTGTAGAAATCCACCTCAGGGCCAAAGTGTAATTCCTAGAGCAGGACTTTGCTAGGTGCTGTGCGCAGACCCAGCTGTTTCCTGCGGACCATGCACAGTCAGTGAGCTTTCAAACTTCCCTGGACAAATAACTAGACAAGAGAAATTCTGGAAGGGAAAAGAAAGCTTTGCTTCAGTGTCCAGGCACATAAGGTGGTAGATAAAAGGATCGTCCTCACCTACAGATTTGGGGCTTTAGCATCCTGTTTGCCAACTGGATGGTTGCATATCCTTCAAAATGCACCTCTTCCCTCCCAACCTTCCCAAGTGGAAAAGAAACCTCTGATGAGAAGTGACTTTCTGAGGCTGGGTTGAAAATATGACCCAGGCACAGGGCATCTGAGTACTCCATGAGGAATGCAGTTGGGTGCTGCCCTTGGGGGACAATAGGAGGAGGCTTTTGACCCAATGACTGTCTACTGAGGTGTGACGGGAGAGGCCTGTAGCATGCCAGAGGCCAAACCCCTGAGCCAGTTCATCTCTATTCTATGTTTCTGAAGAGGGAAGCTATGATTTAATGTCATTACTATCATGCTGCTCTAGTATTTCTCAGCACATACACAGAAGAGGGAATTACATGGTCCTTGATACACCTAAATCCTTGGAAAATCCCAATTGCATATGCTAACCTCACTGTGTCTGACTGCAGACCCGGCTGGAAGCCCCCTGGAACCAGGCCCAAGCCTCCCCTCCATGAATTTTGTTCACACAAGTAAGGCCCCAGGGTGAGGTGATGGCGGTGGCTGAGGTGCGAGGGTGGGGATGGGGGATGGCACCATTGGGACCTCTTAGAGGGTGGGAGAATTGTAGACTGGGGACACCTAAGGGTGCTGGATGGGGCTGAAGTCTTTCCTTTTCGGAAGCAAATCCCATCAGGAGAGAACTCTGGGAAAGATGAGCCCGGGGAGGGGCAGGTGATGCTCACCTGCTAAGAGGCACAGGGCAAGGAAGAGTTTGTGCCTGGGAACCTTCCAGGTGCCTCTTCTGATCATAGTCAAGAGACTGGAGACACAGACCCCCTCCCAACACCGATGACAAACAGCCACGTGGCCAGCGGGGGTGCAGGGACACCCACACCACTAAGGGCTCAGGGCGGCGCCTTCGGAGACTGAACCTTCCTCTCATGCTGCCATTTGAACACCACAACACCCCAGTAGGAACCTGTTAACATTACCACTGTTCAGGCGTGGAAACCGAGACGGACAGCGGAGATTCCCTGCCCCAGGTGACACAGGTAGTCAGTGACAGATGTGGAAATTTAAAGGTACTTAATCTGTCTGCTTGACTCAGGCTTAAGGCTCCCGTCACCTCCTCTTCTCAGGAAAGAGTCAGGAGACCTCAGTCTGAGCCCCAGCTCTAGTGCAGGTGGATGCATGAAGACTGAGCCTCACTGGTAAAGTGGCAGAAAGGACAAATGGGACCAGGTGTGTAAGGGCGCCTGGCACAGTAGGGGGAGGCTGCTGTCACTGCTCCACTGCTGCTGCTGCAGTGACCTTTGATGTTTTGGTTTTGTTGTAGTTACACCATTGCTGGCTTTGGATCTGCACTGTGTCCACTTCAGGTGGAACCAAGTGCACAAGCCTCTCTGTCGGGCTTGTCATGACTTCTCCTTGTCAGGGCTGGGATGTCCTTCAAATCTGGGAGAAGTGGTTCTCCAAGTCTGGTCCTCAAACGTCAGCAACATCAGCTCCTAGAAGTGTTAGGAATACAGATTCCCAGGCCCCACCAGCGACCTCCTGCATCAGAAACTCAGGGGGCTGAGGCTCTGGGGGCTGCTTTAACAAGCCTTCCAGGTTGTCGTGATGCATCTTGAAAGTCTGAGGGCTACTGCCCTGCAGAAAATTACTAGTGCCTTAAAGCTGGCGCTGGCACTGATGTTACTGCTGCTGTTGGAGTACAACTTCCCTACAGAAAACAACTGCCAGCACCTTAAAACCACTCACACCTTCAGAGTGGCCTTGAGAAAGATTTGGGGTCAAGGATCATGAGCAAGAACACCAATTAGGAGGACAGTGAACTGGTCTGCATGTGAGACGCTGAGATCGTATGTCAGGCTGTGATAGAAACAAAAGGAAAGAACAGCTTTAAGAAGCACTTAAGAGGTACAAAGTAAAATGATAGTGCTAGAAAAGTAGCTTCTTAAAAATAGCATTTTCCAGTCTCACCCTGGACTAAGTGAATGAGAATCTCAGGAGTGTGAGGCCCAGGTAGCCATGGTCTTAAAATACCACCCACCAGGTGATTCCCAGTGTGCACCAGGGTTGAGAGCCACAGGTTTAGGCCATGCCACTCAAAGGGTGTCCTCAGACCAGCAGCACCCACAGCTCTGAGAGCGCATCAGAAAGGCAGAGCCTTGGCACCCCCCACTCCTACTGAACCATAGTTTGCAGGTGATTTCTTGCACATTAAAGTGTGGGAAATGGAAAGGCCTAGAGTTCAGCTAGCTCAGTGACTCTCAGTCAGCCTGCACCTGCCCCATGAACTCAGACTGTCTGGGATGGGCCCAGAAAAGCTCCTGAGGAGATTCTGATGGAAGGCAGGGGTGAGAACCATGGATCTCATCTGACCCCGTATCACTGGGGAGTTACTTAGGATCTTGCCTGGGGTCAGCCATCTCTTCAATAGACACTGAGAGTGTCCACGATGCTTGGGGCACTACAAGGTGGGAGGTGGAGGATCACAGGTGAGTCAGACAGGGAGCCTGCTCCTGGGGAGCTCACAGTGCTATAGGGCAGCAAGACAAGGATGCCAATACCTGTGTGCAGGTACCACTGACGAGTGCAGAGCGCTGCAGCACCAGAGAGGAAGCCAGCCTGTGCAGAGGGGGCTGAGGAGGGCTGCAGGGAGGAGGTGGCAGGAGAACCGGTGTTACAGGAGGAGTCCTCCCCTCTCTCTAGGCATGAGGAGACCAGGAGGACATTCCACAATGAGAAACCCAGGCAGAGGCCATGTGCTTATGGCATGGGGGGAGAATGGCACCTTAGAATTATTCTCTACATTAGAATTGCCTACCACAGATACCCATATTAAAGCTTCGCATAGTGTGGTGGTTACTGTGTTGTCATATTGTCACATTTGCCATTTTCCAGCCACCCACCCATATTTGACAGTCACTGGCCCAGCCTGGGGGCCCCTGCCCTTTATCAAACAAGTGCCTGAGCTCTTTGTGGAGGTGAGGGTCACCTGTCCAATCAGAGGCCAGGAGGGAAGGTTCCCTTTTAAGACCCTACTCTAGGCAGACCTGGCCCAAATGAGTTGCTAGGAGCCCACGCCCTAAGAACCCTCTGAGGACTGTTGTGGCTGGTCCTGCCGCTAGAAGTTCTTCCTCCAGGGCCAGGTGCAAGATTTGTGGCTTTTCAAAGGAGCCGCTAAAGCCCAACCTTGCACCGTGCTGGGCTCCTGGAGGCTTCCTGCCTCCAACCCTCCCAACTCTCCCATCACCACTCCCTTAGACTGGCCAGTGCAGGGATCTGTCCCACTCCAGGCACTAATGATAGAAGGATGCCTTCAATCAGAGGGTACAAAAAAGAGAGTTAAGAAAAACAATGATTATAAAGAGTCCTTTTTAGACATTTTCTTCGCTCAGGCTAAGTGCTACTTAATTTGAGTAAGCATTTTAGTTCTCATAATTCCTCTCTCAAGTAGGTGCTGTTATTACTCTCATTTCACAGATGAGGACATTGAGGTTTGGAGGGATTTAGTAACTTGTCCTCTGTCCTACAGCAGAGCTTGGATTTGAATCCATCTGTTCAAATCTGGAACCCATATGCTTGCACAGAATGCTAAATTGCTTGTCCCAGCGAGATAGAAAGCCCAGGAGTGGAAGAAATATTCAGTGGCTGTGATGTCTGAGCCCACAGGCAGGGTGGAGAGCTGAGGCTGGGGCCCTTGGATGTGGGGAAGAGAAGACTAAGTCTTTCATTTTCGATGTGAACTGTTGATATCTGGTGATATTGATCTAGGTCCAAAGGTGAAGAACTTAAACCCGAAGAAATTCAGCATTCATGACCAGGATCACAAAGTACTGGTCGTGGACTCTGGGAATCTCATAGCAGTTCCAGATAAAAACTACATACGCCCAGGTGACTCTCGGTTTTGGCTGTGTTTTCTGTCCCCAACCAGCAGGGGTAAGGCCTCCCTCCAGGTGGGCTCAGCTCCGTGCTATACTATACCCCATCTCCAGCAGGTGGTGGAAGCGGGGAGGAGAGGCCCCAGGGACTAGGGCATCAGAGGAAGGGTCTCTAGCGATGACCAGATCTGTAGCGATGACCAGAGTCTTTCTGGAAGGGTGGGAAAAAAGGAGGCAGACACTTAGGTTGTTGGAAGAAGAGGAAGCTTAAACTGGTGTGATGGAGGGAGATGTGGGCCACAGAGTCAAGGGGAGAGGGGCTGCGCACCAGGCCTGAAACCCCAGCAGACAGGAGGGACCTTTCCCTGCTCTCAGAATCCACACATGTTCTGACTGTCTTTTTCCAGAGATCTTCTTTGCATTAGCCTCATCCCTGAGCTCAGCCTCTGCGGAGAAAGGAAGTCCGATTCTCTTGGGGGTCTCTAAAGGGGAGTTTTGTCTCTGCTGTGACAAGGATAAAGGACAAAGTCATCCATCCCTTCAGCTGAAGGTGAGAATTCTAGCTCAATTTCCTGTGCCTTTGGCTACTCCAAAGTAAAAGGCCAAGATCCTCAATGCCTCTTGCTTTTCTGCAAATTCTTATCTTGGCCAATATTACAGGGACATCCACCTTTCTGGAAGCACCAGGCAGAAGAGTCCCATACCTTCTTCTCTGGTTCCTTGCCCCTTCTAGGGAAGGAGGGACTCCACACAGCAGGGAGACAAGGAGGAACTGAGCACCCATTCTCCTCTCTTGGGCTCACCAGCCCTGGCCCTGGGCGGGCGGCGCTCCCCTCCTGCTGTGGCCCTCCATGTGGCAAGCAGCACAATTGGGTCAGGACCCTGGCGTGCTGCTGCGGGGCAGGAGGGTGTGAGGGAGCACTCGGAGGGCAGTGTGCCTGCTCTGCAAATTTCGTCCTGCATGGAGCATCCTTTCACTTGAGAGGAGAAATCTTAGGAAGCTCAACTGGATATAGATCTAGGCCATATTCTCTAAACGAACTTTAAAAACTATAGAGCTGAGATTTTGGTGTCCATCTGACTCTTACATCTCTCTCTTTGTCTCAATGTATTTTTAATTTGGGGGACAAGAGGGTATGGAAAAGAAGGCATGATTGCTTCTCATCCCTTAAATACCAGTACCAAGGCTGACACATCATCTTCCCCAAGGACCATCTGCCTTCTCTCTTCTCTTCCTCTCCTGCGTAAAGGCCTGGAGGATGAGCACATGTGCTGGGTTTTTCTCCCTCTCAAAGCCTGCGCTGTCTAATTAATCTCTTTTACCTCACAGAAGAAGAAACTGATGAAGCTGGCTGCCCTAAAGGAATCAGCACGCCGGCCCTTCATCTTTTATAGGGCTCAGGTGGGCTCCCGGAACATGCTGGAGTCGGCAGCTCACCCCGGATGGTTCATCTGCACCTCCTGCAATTGTAATGAACCTGTTGGAGTGACAGATAAATTTGAGAACAGGAAACACATTGAATTTTCATTTCAACCAGTTTGCAAAGCTGAAATGAGCCCCAGTGAGGTCAGCGATTAGGAAACTGCCCCATCAAATGCCTTCCTTGCTAATTCGAAGGAGTTATATAAAACACAAAATCTGCTCACTAACCTTTATGTCAGTGGGTTTCATTTCTCATTCATACTTTAAGGATTTGTGTTTTTAGAATACAGCAAGAAGCTTGTTTAATTACAAAGTTCTGGGTTGGAAAGAGACCAGCTTCTGCTTGTGTACTGCTATCCTGAACCATCAGACATCCACCTGTGTGTCATATGCTATGATGTGGCCAGTCTGAGTGCGATACTTGCAGCAGGAAGGAGCAGCTGGGTGCATGCTGTGCTCTAGAATTAGTCCTTCCACTGGGGTTTGGTAAGTTCTGAGGGCATTGATCCTGGGGCAGAAGTGGCTGAGTCTGTGTCTAGGGTACAGTGTGCAAGAAAGAAATGTAACAGCAAGTCACGATCCAGCCAAGTGATAATGGAAAAGGGGTAGTTGGGTCCCAGATAAGGAGCAGGGTGACCTGACCTGTGGAAAACACACAGAGACAAGGAATCTGGCTCAGATGATAGCCAGGAGACCAGGTGAGCAGCCAGTTAGTGTCTGGGAGGCCTGTCAACAGGGCATGGTCCTATCACTAAGCAGGGCTCAGATCCTCATAATGGGGGAGAGGAAGGCTGGTCGAACAGAAATCAGGGCCTGGAAACAGAATGAGGGGGTGGATATAGGGGACGGAGGCCTGGAAATTAGTTTATTACTTTTAGCTCTTCAGTTACAAGCAATAATAATCACTTCTAGCTTATTTAAGCAAAAAGTATACTATGAAAGGAGCTTTCTAGAAGGATATTGGGTATATTCATTTCTTAGTGCTGCTGTAACAAATTACCACCAACTTTGTGGTTTAAACAATGCAATGTATTATCTTACAATTATGGAGGTCAGTCTGGAATGTGTCTCACTGGGCCAAAATAAAAGAAACAGCAGGATTGCAATGCTTCGGGGGGTTCTATGGGAGAGTCAATTTCCTTGCCTCTTCCAGCTTCCAGAGGCCACCTGCGTTCCTTGGCTAGTGACCCACTCCCATCTTTGCTGCTTAGGTTTTTCTCACACTGCTTTACTCTGACCCTCCTGACTTCTTCTTTCACATATAATAATGCTTGCAATTTACACCAGGCCCACCTCAATATGCAGGATACTCTCACATCTCAAAGAAGCTTAACTTTAATCACAGATGCAAAGTCCCTTTTGCTGTGTAAGGTAACATATTCACAGGATGTGGGGATTAGAATGTGCACGTTTTTGGGGTGCCATTATTCTGCCTATCATGTGAAGTAACTTTCAAAATGGAAAGACATGCTGAAGAACAAGTCAGGGACTTCTGGCAGGCCAAAAATGACAGAAGCCAGAAAACGTTGGTCCCCTCACTCAGATGGGTAAGAGCCAATCATGTTTTTTGTCAGTTAGCAAAAGATTGAGATTCCAAACAAATCATGTGACTGCTCTAGTTTGAGTCATGTATGAACTCCTTGGTCAGTGAAGGGCAGCACACCTTGATCAATACTCCCTACAAGACTGTATCCAATGAGGCCAGTGATGTTCCTCAAAGCAGAGCTGGAGAGCTAATCCCAGGAGAGAGGCGTGTTGGTGGTGGGCAGGCAGACAAAGCTTAGCCATAAAGGAGGAGTAGGGACAGCACCCCAGGCACGGAGGCTCAAGTGAGATGACACCCATGGGAAGCTCTGACAAGGTCAGCTGCTTCTGTTTCTGATCCTGATGATGATGGTGATCAACACCAGCCCAGTGACAAAAAAGTACATAGTATACTTAGTAGATGTTCCCAACACAGAGAAATGGTAAATATTCAAGGCGATGAATACTCCAAACATTCTACCTTGATCATTACACATTCAGTGCATGTAATGAATACTTGCACGTATGCCATAAATATGTGAAATATTATGTATGCATATAAAAGAAAAACATGTGGCCAGGTGACACCGATACTTTGGAGAGGAAGGCATGTCTTCTTCATAATATACAAAACTATTTTCATGACAAAGACACAGCTATTCAAATTAGTCTCTGAGCCAGGGCTGTCTCATGGCAGTGAGGACTCTGGTTCCCTTGCAGACTAGCAGAAAGAAGATGGGGCTTACTGACCATGGCCTTGAGGAGGCTGAACATGCAGGCCAAATGGAGACACAGACAGCCTGGGCTTGGTCCTGCTCCATCCCCTTCCAACCTGGTGACATATAGCGAGTCACTCTGGCATGGGTCACTCATGCTTCCTGTGAGGTTCCACCAAGGTAGCAAATCCATCAACACCTTACTGAAGCACAAGGCCCTGTGTCCTGCTGACTTCACGAAAGGCATGGTTGTGGTGATCACATACGTGTGTGCTATGCCATTGAATGCTGGAAACTTTTCTCACCCCAGCACTACCGACTCCCCTTTACCCAGTCTTATTGTTCTCACTGTAACACGCTATATAGTTTGCTTCTTACATTTATTGTTTGTGTCTCCCACTAGCATGTAAGTCCCACAAGTGCTTTGCTCTTTGATGTATGCCAAGAACCCACTGCAGCGCTTGGCACTTGTAGGAACTCCATAAGATTTTTATAAATGAAGAAAGGAAAAAAAAAGAAAAAAAAAAAAAGAGAGGGAGGGAGAAAGGAAAGGAAGGCTTCTATTTAAATGATGGTCTTCTCCTTATTTCTATAGTAATATGACTTCCCCTGCAAAGTAGATGCATTTTGGAAAAAGTGTATAAATAAACTCAGGTGGTTTTGAATTTCATTTTCGTAACTGTAATTGTAATCATGGATCTTTATGTTTAGTGAAAAAGTTTTGGCCCTTATGCCTTACACCTGAGAATCCCAAAGCATTGGTTTGTTAGGGCTCCCATAAAGAACCATAAACTGGGTGGCTTAAAACAACAGAAATGTATCGTCTCCTGGCTCAGGAGGCCAAAGTCTGAACCCCAGTTGTTGATTTATTCCGAGAGCTCTGAGAGAGAATCTGTTCCAAGCCTCCCTTCAGTTTGTGGTAGCTCCAGAGTTCCTCGGCTGGTGGCAGCAAAACTCCAGTCTCTGCCCGCATCTTCACATGGCTGTCTTCTCTCTGTGTTTCTGTGTCCAGATTGTCCTATAAGGACAGAGTCATACTGAATTAGGGCTCGCTCGAATGACTTCATCTTAAGTTGATCTGTATCTGTAAAGACCTTATTTCCAAGTAAGGTCACATTCACAGCTACTAGGGGGTGGGACCTCAACATATCTTTTTGGGGGACATAATTCAACTCATAATACCCAACGTGATAACTGTTCATCTCATGAAATTTAATGTCTCTCAAAAGGTGATCTCAGGGCATTTAATCTGTGGCAGAAACTCCCATAGGAAACATTCCAACCAGAGCTCCTTTCACAGCTGGTCACTCCTCCTACCCCATCCGAGGTCCTGGGGCCGAGTGAGGCAGTGGGGACAAGAGGAAGGCTGTCTTGGGAGTAGAAAGAGAAGACCTTATTCACTCGGCCCTCTGTTCGTGAGTGAGCTATCCAGCATAGGATATAATAAATAGCTTTAGGGGTGGTAGACTCCAAACATTTTTTTGATCCCAATTATCCTAATCAATTAAACAAAGTCTAGAACATGTCTTGAAATGCTGGCATTGGTACATTATGAAACTTACACAGAATTTAAAAATTTACAAGGACTAAATAAAATAGGAACTGACATCTAATATTTTCTTCCCACATTCCCATGCACTGTCTGGCTCAACCAGCCCCAGCCCTCAATCTCATCCTGGTGGACACATGCCTAGTGATGTGATCAGCTGGTTCTCAGGGGGCTGGTGAAGATGGGTATACAGCTTTTGCCAATTTCCATGGCATAACTACTCCAAATATGGCCAATTTCAAACTACCAACATGAAGGCACAGACACAGAGTTTGGAAGAGATGTTAAGAATTGGCTATTGCAAGCTGATATAAGCTAGCTCCAGCACACCACCACTGCCACCTTTGAGCTCCTTGTGTTAGTACAGGGGTTGGTAAACTGCAGCCTAAAGGCCAAATACAGCTTGTTGCCTGTTTTGTGTATTTGTCAACACAGCCATGCTGTCTATGGCCTTCTTTGTACTGTAACAACAGAGCATGTGGCAGGATATATAGAATCTGGCACTCTATGAAAAGTACTGACTCCTGCTCTACAGGAGAAGAGACCACAGATTGGCTTCAGCTTCCAAACATTCATCCCTGAGTCAGTCTAGAGCCTGAAATTTAGAGCCTGAAGCACAGTTTCCACCAGAGGGCTGAAATGCATGATAGTTGGGGTTTCCACCTCTCACCCAAAAGCCTACTCAATTTTTTACTGCAAAAACATGTTACCATCGTTATTTTTTACTTAGCCCACCTTTCCTTGGCAATTTTCCATAGGAAAATGCATTCTAAAGTTCAACTAATCAGGAGACTTGGAGCCTCTGGACACCCCCTTGTTCCTTGCCCACAGTCCCTGGCAGAAGGTGCTTTATCAGAGAGGCTTCATGCAGGGGCTCAGGACAGGATCAGAGGTCAGTTGCCCCAAGGGGGCAGGGACAGCAGAGGGGACGGTTCAGTACATTGTCATGGTCCTGGTGATTCCTGGTCCATGAGGGAATTTTCACATGCATTGGGTGATTGACAATCACCAATTCAGGGAGAATTTGTGTGCCCACTTTATAGGTGAGGAAACAGATGTAGAGACGTCAAGTAACTTTACCAAAGTCATGTGGCTTTTAAGTGGCAGACTTTCAGGTGTTGTGACTCCTAGTCCAGAGTCCTTTGCACTGCCCTTGAGGTGCTAAAACTCTACTGTGCCAGAAGACTCACTTGAGGGAGCTTCCTAAAAAGAGAGATTGCACAACCTGAGATTCTTGTTTAACTGTTTTGGGATGTAGCTCAGGGATTTAGCTGCCTTAAAAAAAAAAAAACTTTCCAAGTAATTCTGATGCAAGTGGTTCTTTGTTGTTCACCCTTTGGAGAAACACTGCCTCCTCCCCATACATTTCATTAGAAAATGGTAATATGTTTTTCAGCCTAAGAGCCATTTCTGGATGACTAGCCCACACTGGGTGACT